CAAAGAAAGAGCTAAAAAAAAAAAAATATCCTGACGAAGGCGTGGCGCGCTACCTGCCCGACGTGAAGGCCGTTCCGTTGGCGGCGCCGAAGGTGGAGAGCGTGACCGCGAGGGGCATGAGGAAAGCCGCCCATCCAAGCACGCGGTTCCCGAAGGTCTAGTGGCGGAGGGAGCTCAGGTCAATGGTCATTTTCGGAGGGAGCTCAGGTCAATAAGGGTCATTTTTTCGTCAATAAGGGTCATTTTCGGAGGGAGCTCAGGTCAATAAGGGTCATTTTCGGAGGGAGCTCAGGTCATTTTCGGAGGGAGCTCAGGTCAATAAGGGTCATTTTCGGAGGGAGCTCAGGTCAATAAGGGTCATGTTCAAGTCATTTTCGGTCGATGTCAAGGTTGTTTGTAGAGGAGGAGGTTCAATAAGGGTCATTTTCAAGTCATTTTCGGTTTAGCGTCGATATAAAGGTTGTAGAGGAGGGAAATCAAAGTCGATATCCTAGAGTCGTTTTTAATAAGGAAGTCGATAAGTTTGTTGAGTAAGTGAGATTCTGGAGTGATTTCTTCTCTAGAGTCAATAGTAAGGATGATTGTAGAAGAAGGAGTTCAATAAGCGTCATTTTGAAGTAATTTCTTATCTTAAAGTCGATCATAAGGTTGACTGTAGAGGAGGGAGTTCAATAAGGGTCATTTTCAAGTCATTTTCGGTCTAGAGTCGATATAAAGGTTGTTTGCAGAGGAGGGAGTTCAATAAGGGTCATTTTCGGTCTAAAGTCGATGTCAAGGTTGTTTGTAAAGGAAGGGAAATCAAAGTCAATATCATAGAGTCGTGTTCAAGGTTGATAAGGTTGTTGAATAAGTGGGATTCTGGAGTAATCTCTTCTCTAGGGTCAATACTAAGGTTGATTGTAGAGGAGGGAATCTAAAAGGTGTTATTTTGATGTCATTTCTTATCTTAAAGTTGATTGTAAGAGGAAGGGAGTTCAATAAGGGTTCATTTCAAGTCATTTTCGGTCTAGACTCGATTTAAATGTTTGTAGAGGAAGGGAAAACAAAGTCAATATCCTAGAGTCGTGTTTAATAGAGTCGATAAGGTTGTTGAATAAGTGAGATTCTGGAGTAATCTCTTCTCTAGAGTCAATAGGAAGGTCGATAGTTTCATGTTAAGAGGGAGTTCAATAAGAGTCAAAGAGGTGTGAACTTGGGTCAACTTCACAGAGTCGTTCAGTGAGGTCAATAAGGGAGATTCTAGAGTCATTCCACAAAGGCATAAGAATTTCAAACCAGTGGGATATGGTGGAATCAATCTAGTGTCGTGTGGTAGAACAGGAAGCTTAACTCGGCATCATACGGCCAAGAGACACACGCCAGTCATCCCTATTTTGGAATCGATTCAACACTATTCTGGAGTCACCCTATTAGTAGCCCTGGGTCTACATATTCCGGTGTTGGTCCGAACTAAATCGGGAAATGGTTCAAAAGCCCAAGTCGGTCTGACCTAGAGTGTTAAATCTGTTCGACTGAATTTATTGGACTCGTCTCTATACCCCCCCCAACCACCCCAGAAAAAGGGTTGATATATAGGGAAAAAAAGTCATACTGAGACACTTCAATATTTCATTCCAATACTTGTCCTTTTGTTTCGTCACGCTTTCCAACATTGTTTTATTATGTTGTTTAATTTTCTTAGTCTTCGCCTTAATCTTATTCATTGCTTTCTTCTTCTATTCTTTTCTTCTTTTATTTCTTCTCCTTTTCTATTTCTTCTTCTGTTATCTCTTTATTTCCTTCTCCTACTTTTCTTCCTCCTCTTTCTTTTCCTCCTCCTTCTCCTCATTCTTCTTCTTTTTCTTCACTTAGCGTAAAACAAGGAAGAGAAAAAACAGAGAGAGAAAAAAAGCTTGAAGAACCAACAGACATAAAAACGTAAAAAGAAATCGCTTTTATACCAAGATAAGAAATAGGAAAGGAAAAGACAATATGCCCAACACAATAACCCGGAAGTAGCACACCGCCCAAACAAAGGCATAACGAAGGACAAAAGACCAGGAAAATAAAGGAAAAGAATATAAAAAAGGAAGATAATATAATAAATAAGACAATAAAAGAATTAAGACGATTCCCAGGACCCCAACGCCGTCAAAAACACGAGAAAAAATAATTAGAAAAGGAAAATAGAAACACAAAGAAGCAAAAATATGAATAAAAGAAATAAAGTGAAAGGCATAACTAAAACAAAATCAAAATAACTGAAAATTCACAGAGTGAAAAAAGATAAACGAATTAATGACGTAAATAAATAAACAAAAAAATAAACAATGAAATGAACGTGTGAAACAGAAATTCAAATAAACCTGAAAAAAAAACAAAGAAAATTATAAAAGTTACCTGAACCGAACCGCGAAACAGAACTGAAACAAAATTCGAAAATAACCAAAACAAAACACAAACCTTCCAGACGTGAAACAGGACCCGTTTGCCGATCCAAAAGTCGACATAACCACCGCGATGATCATAATAATCTGGCCCGTCAGTCCCATGAGGCGGTCGCCAGCCAACTACGGTCATACACACAAAATTCAGACTTTATATATGGGTCAGGTTGTCTACGTATACATGGGGAGTACGGTACATGGACCGTACATGGTGTTAGAGAGTTGTGGATCTCAACTGGTTTCAGACTATGGGGAGGAAAATGATGTATAATGATAATAAAATGACGCAAAATATGATTTGAGATATAATTGTTGAAATAGTATTTTGAGAAATGACATGATTTATTTTGATATTTTCGGCGAATTCCATCTATTTCTTGTGAATTACATCTATTTCTAATTTATTACCGATTATAGATAACGCTATATAAGGCCACAAGAATAGTCATTAGAGACCGGTTGAGAACCAGGGAGGGATTGTTAACATACACATGGGAAGTACGGTACAAAAATAAAAGAAAATGGGAAGGTACAAAATATAAAAGAAAAATGAGAAGGCTAAAATTAAAAACAAAATACGGAATTTGTTTATAAGTTTGATTAGAGATCTAAAGGGTTTGACTAAGAGGGCAATTTAATGTTAATTGAACATTTTTTTACTGGATGCACTTCTAGTGTGTGTGTGTGTGTGTGTGTGTGTGTGTGTGTGTGTGTGTGTGTGTGTGTGTGTGTGTGTGTGTGTGTGTGTGTGTGTGTGTGTGTGTGTGTGTGTGTGTGTGTGTGTGTGTGTGTGCATAAATGTGTGTGTGTGTCTGTGTGTATGATTATCAAAATCAAAAAAGAAAACATCTGGAAACTAAAAAATAAAAGAAATTAATAATCATGCAGGGAAAAATAATAGATATATTCTAAATACTATAAAATAAATTAATCTAAGGGTGTACTAAACTTAACCAAAAAAATTACGGTAAACAAAAAACAAAGTCAATAACCACAATTACTCAGATATACACTCACACACTGATTAGTCTCAAAGCTAAATTAATAAACAAAAATAACAAGAAATAATAATAAGAAGAAACACCCACTATTTATATCCCTATAAATCCATATACTAATACATATCAGAACTAAAATAAAGAAAAAAATATAAAGATAGTAAAAAATAAAAAAAGACATCAAAAGGTCAAATAATATTTTACATCCACGATTTTTTTCTCTTTTCTTTCTTTTTTTTCTCTTTGTTTTTCTCTTCTTTTCCCCCTCCACCAACTACGGCGTGGAAGCGAGTAATCAAAATCCAAAAATATAAAGATGAAAAAAAAAGAAATACACCGTAAAGTCAAAGAATATTTTACATCCACCTTTTTCTTCTTCTTTTCTTCTTCTTTTTTTTCTTTCTTTTTTCTCCTCAAACTACGGCGTGAAGCGAGTAATCAAAATCCAAAAATATAAAGATGAAAAAAAAAGAAATACACCGTAAAGTCGAAGAATATTTTACATTCACATTTTTCTTCTTCTATTTTTCTTCTTTTTTTTTCTTTCTTTTTTCTCCTCCACCAACTACGGCGTGGAAGCGAGTAATCAAAATCCAAAAATATAAAGATAAAAAAAAAGAAATACGCCCGTAAAGTCAAAGAATATTTTACATCACATTTTTCTTCTTCTTTCTTCTTCTCTTTCTTTCTTTCTTTTTTCTCCTCCACCAACTACGGCGTGGAAGCGAGTAATCAAAATCCAAAGTCAAAGTTCAACGGTTCAGCTGAGATAATACCAAGAGCGAAAACATTTTAAATAAATTCCCGCCATTTCGTTTGAATAAAATGTTCGTTACGAGTTCTGATTTGTCCATTCAGGCACGTTTTTTTTTTTTTTTTTTTTATAATGTATCTTTTCATGCAATCCCCGTCAGTCAATAGAGAAAAAAATAAGAGGAAACTTTTACATTAAAGTAAAGAGAAAAAATCTAATGTTTGGGGGAAAAAGCAAAAATCTACGCAGTATTAACTGTCTAAAATTCAACCTTCTTTTTAAAGGTTTCGATTCTTTTTTAAACGTTTCGATTCTTTTTAAACGTTTTTATTCTTCAAAACCGTTTCTTTTTCTTTAATGTTTTGATTTTGTTAATGTTTCGATTTTTTTCAAACTTCGCGATTCTTTAGAAACGTTTCGATTCTTTTTAAACGTTTCGATTCTCTACAAATGTTTTTTTTTATGTTTCAATTCTTCTTAAACGTTTCGATAGTCAAGATACTATTATGTTTTTTGTTGTTTGTTTTAGTCGAGGAATATTTATCATTTCCAATAGCAACAGAAATTCACAATCTATTTATTAATTACTTTGCTTACATTTGAAAAAAAAGATAGATATATATAGACATATACTACATACGCGCAAAAACACAAATATGAATATATCTGTATTCTATCCATCTATCGAATCTCACAGACACACATAACACACACGTTGGCTAGCTTTAACAACTCAAAATAAAAATGTATCTGAAATTCACACAACTAACAACAAAATCCAACACATCGTCCTATATATGAACCTGAGAATACAACTACTTGTTAACACACATATAACGTATTCATCATGCAAGTTATTGAATTAAACAGCAGATTATAACCAGTGCTCAGTCAATTAATTAAACGACCAACCATATGAAACTTTGGAGTGCCTATATATACATTATAATGTATTGAACTTAAAAATGTTGGAAATAGATATTGAAAAGTGAGAATATGAATTATACTTCACAATTAACACGAGATCATTATATTTATTTTGAATTACCGGTTACATTCGAGAAATATATATCTTATCGTTAGAGCACTTAACACATAGTTGAATTTGATTTCTTGAGACTGGATTATTATAGATTTTGTATCAAGACGGGATTAAGCACGAGAGTCACGATAACACAACTCTTGTATTATTGAGCGTGCAAAGTAATACATACATTCCTTTCATTCATCACAACCAATATACACTTATACCATCTTTAAAGAACAAGCGCGAGAGCATTTGGAGAATATCTACTACTTATAATTCTATTATCTTTCATAATGTTATATTCTGCATTAATTTTCGCATCTCTCTGCTTTTTTATATTGTGTTAGTCAATTCAATTTTTCCTATTTTTTATCACTCTATATTTTTTCCATGATATAATAATAAAAATATAAGATAAAGAAAAAAATCAATTTATTTATATTCATCATATCTCTTTTTTCTAATACCTCTGCCTCTCTTATATCCTTGTAATCCTTTTATTCATCTCAAATATTCTAACTCTTTACTACCAACTCTTATTTTATACTATTATCATCCCTACAATCCCTTCCCCATCCCTCTTCACTTTTTTCACCCCTCCCCACCTATTACTGGACCTTACGGGTACATCACACCCTGGTCTTTCAGCTTCAGGCAAGTTTACCTTCACTTGGGTCTTCATTATGTTATGCTGTTCTGACGCCCAGTTAGGACGACGTTTCACTAGTTCTAAGCCTAATGATTGTAGTTCACACGGTCTCACCAGGGAAGTGTACCTGATGATTATTTGATATGCGCGGGGGATGGTTTCACTCTTTTTGTGTAGTGGGTGAGAGGATAGGGGAGGTGTGGATTGCGTTGATGTTTTGGAGTGGATGAGTTAGGGGAGTGAGGGGAGTTTGAGCTTGGGTGGGTTGAAGTTGTGCGGTGAGAGGTGGAGAACGGTTAGGGGAGTGAGTAGGTTGGTGAGATATGTTGGTGTTAGTGTTTGATTAGTTTGAGTACGAGTTGGGTTATGGAGAATGTGGTTTATGGGATGATTAGTGGGGTTAAGTCAGTGGGAACAGAGGTTGAGTCGGGAGATAGAGTGGAAGTGCGTGTGGGCGAGTTGCGTGGACGCATTTGAGGTGTGGTGAAAGCAGAGCACGAGTAGAGAGAGAGAGCAGAGAGAGAGAGAGAGAGAGAGAGTAGAGAGAGACGAGTAGAGTGAGGAGACGAATGAGAATGATGATGTAGGAGCAACGAGAGAGAGAGAGAATTTTAGATTAGATATATTATGATAACAATGTAGAGAGAGGATTGAAGGCTTAGAATAAAATTATATAATGGAGGTAAGGATTGATAAATAATAGGTAAATATTTGGTAAATTTTAATATTAAACTGTAAGATAATACAGAAATAAAAGGTTGAGATTTAAAAATTCACGACAAACGAGGGACAATTGAGGATTTGAAAGAGTCAGTATGATGAAGAAAAATAATTTTTTTTCTATTTTATATTTTTATTCTACCTGTCAATTGAATAGATCATAACATGGCGTGTGCATGTATTACTAACACATCTTTTCTATCTGATGTTTATCCCTCCTTGTCTATTGTATCCTACTCTTCCTATGATTAATATTTCTAATCTATTATTTCTAATTTTATTTACTCTTATCTTTTTACGATAATAGAAATGTAGATGATTTTTTTGGTCTGCCATGTAGATTATATTCTAGGGATTTTTTTTCTCCCTCGTAAAAAAATTCGATCTTATTCGAATGTCCGTGAATGGAAATCATGTTCCCAATTTATACATTTGCAAATGCTTTATTTGCTTATTTTTATAATCTTCTCTCAAATATAAAAATTATATTTTGTTTTTTCTAATTAACGATTTTGAAAAAATCTTGATCTAAAATAAAAATCTAATTTGATAACATCACGTTGATTAATTCATAGAAACAATAACATCAAATTATAAAGAATATAAATATAGATAACACAAGACAAATAATAACATCAAAAACAAAACAAAATATAAAAAAGTCAACATCTGCCAACCGGATGCCCTTCCAGCCGCCAACCCTCCTTCCTCATTCGCCCCCATCCTCATTATCCTATATATCTATCTATCTTTATTTATCTATCTATCCCTATTCAATTTATCATTGTCAAATTTCTCTGTACATATAAGGCGTATATCCCTCTAAACATTTAGATATTCTAATCTATCCTATCTACTATCGATCTCTATCATCTGATTTATCATTCAGAAAGTACTTAATATCTAACATTTTCCTCATCATATCCGTTGTAAGTCTCTCCACAGACATTTATCTTCGTTCGTATTCGCTTACTGGCGTATAATAATGAGTGGCGTATTGTATTTTATCTATCTATTTTATCTATCAATTAAAAAGTACTACTGTAAGGTCTCTATTAACTCTTCAGTCACGTAGTTAAGGTTATTCCTGTAAAAAAAAGAGAGAAATAAAAATAGATGTGAGTACAAGATAGATTAATTACAACACATAATACCAGTAAAAAAAATAGATGTATAACATGATTTGGAGGAAGATAGAATAATAATAGATAATATGAGGCAAATAGATTATTAGACAGATTAAGGAATACACGTAAATAGAAATAGAGAATACAGTTCTGGGGAAGAAGGTAGATAAGTAGGATCTATAAACGAAAAATTATACAGAATAGAATAGGATATACCCATATATAGACAATAGGATTATCAAAGTAAGATGAAAAAGATAATATAGAAAATAGTTTATTAGAAGTGATAGAATACAAGATATATAGATATAATATATTTGAAGTAGGTAGGTAATCAAGATATTATAAATAACGATATTTAGAAGAGTAGATATAAGATTAGAGTAGATAGAAGATATAGAAGTATAGATATAGTGTAGATAGATAGAGATATTGAGAAGTAGGGAGATAAGAATAGAGAATAGATTATAGAAGTAGATAAGATATTATAACAATAGAATAGAGTAAGAATAGAAATATAAGATATAGAGAAATAGATTATTAGAAGTTAGATAGATATAACACATAGATATAAGATATTAGAAGCAGGTAGATATAAGATATGTGATATAAAATATTAGAAGCGTGAGAAATAGATTATTCCCGTAAAAAGGGAAAAGAAAAGTGAGAAATACATTATCTATGTAAATGGGAAAAGAAGTGTGAGAAATAGATTATTCATGTAAATAAGAAAAGGAAAATGAGAAATTGATTATTCATCTAAAAAAGAAAAGAAGTATAAGAAACAGATTATTCATCGAAAAGGGAAAAAAGAAACATGACAGATTATTCATAAAAAAGGAAACAAAAAAACAAAAAAAACAAAAAAAAGATTATGAAAACTATCCCTTCCAATCCACGTTTTGTGGCGTTGGCGGCGAGAGCTAATAACGCAGAGTTCGGTTTATATCTTTTGGTTTATGGCTGAGGCATGCTGAGCTGATAGGAAGTTTGCTTGCAATATCCGCCGAGGCCGAGCCGAGGTTATGCTGTCGTAAGCATGGCCGCCATATTGGAGTGTCTCGCTCGGTTCTGGTCGAGTCTGGGAATCTGTTTCTCTCTCGCTCTCTTTTGTGCTTCGTTCGCTGCCTGATATTGTTTGTGTGTCGGGTTTTTTAAGCTATGAGTTTCTGTTTGTCTGTCTATTTGTCTGATTCTGTTTGTTTGTGTGTGTGTGTGTGTCTGTGTGTCTATTAGTCTGTCTCTGTTTGTCTGTCTGTGTCTGTCTGTGTATCTATCTGTCTGTCTGTCTGTCTCTCTCTCTCTCTCTCTCTCTCTCTCTCTCTCTCTCTCTCTCTCTCTCTCTCTCTCTCTCTCTCTCTCTCTCTCTCTCTCTCTCTCTCTCCTCCCTCTCTCCTCTCTCACTCTTAGCAAGCACCCCCCCCCCACACACATTCCTTCCCAACCCCACCTACACCTCTCCCCATCCCCCCATCCCACCCACCCACCCCCACCCACCCCCCTCACCCACCAACCCACCTCCCCAACTCACCATCCATCGTACGCCCACAACCCGCTGTAGAAGGCCGTGGCGATGTCCCCGAAGCTCGAGGTGGACCCCTGGAAACCCGTGGCCAGGTACTGCGTGTTGCCCTGGATCAGCCTCACGGACCCGCCCACCACGATGATCAGGATGGCCAGGAGCTTCGCCGCCGTGAAGATGTTCTGCACCTTGGTGGCCAGCGTCACGGAGTACGAGTTGATGAAGGTGATGAGAACTGCGGGCGGGAGGGAGGGTAAAGAGAGGAGGGAGGGAGGGAAGGGTAGATGGTTAGGGAGGGAGGGTAAAGAGAGAGGAGGGAGGAAAAGAGGAGGGAGGGAGGGGAGGGTAGGGAAAAAAAGAGAGGAGGGAGGGAGGAAAAGAGGAGGGAGGGAGGGAGGGAAAAAGAGAGGGGGTAGGGAAAAAAAAGAGAGGAGGGAGGGAGGGAAAGAGGAGGGAGGGAGGGAGGAAAAGAGGAGGGAGGGTAAAGAGAGAGGAGGAGGGTTAAGAGGGGAGAGAAATGAAGGGGAGGGAGGGAAAGGAAGGGTAGATGGTTAGGGAGAGAGGAGGGAAAGGAAGCGGAGGGAGGGGGAAGGTAAGAGGAGGGGAGAAAAGGGGAAAAGGGGGAAGAGAAGAATGAGGGAGGGGAAGAAAAAACCGATTAATTTTTGGCCAAGAAAATGGAAGGTGTTTATATATATGTGTGTGTGTGTGTGTGTGTGTGTGTGTGTGTGTGTGTGTGTGTGTGTGTGTGTGTGTGTGTGTGTGTGTGTGTGTGTGTGTGTGTGTGTGTGTGTGTGCCTATGTATGCGTAAGTGTATGCGTGAGCGTGTGTGTGCCTGCGTGTGTTTGTGTATCAACCTATGTGTATATGGATATTGATATGTTTGTCTGTATTCATATATGTATATATAGGTACATAATAAACAATATAAACAGATATAAATCACCGTCATTGGTACTACACAAATAACAAGTATATTTCATTAATTCTTAACATAAATAACCAACCACACCACCACTGCCCCCCCTTCCCCTCCCCACCTCACTATATTTTTTTAGTATCTACATTTTCCTTCTTTGACTTCTCTTGATTTACAAAGAGCTGAGATAGTCGCACAAAGTCGCATTTTATCCAGGTAAATACCTTCAATATGAATCAATAAATCAAAAAAATATAATCATAAATCTATTCACAATGTTTACTATGTATATATATACATGTATATATATACACTATGTATATATATATACATGAATATATATAAGCATACATACATATATATATATATATATAATATATATATATATATATTATATAATATTATATCTATCTATCTATTGATCTTCATCTTTATATTTATATTTACATTCATATTTGTATTCGTATCAGTTTTTGTATTTACGTTTACATAAGAACTAACATTTTTTCTTAATCGCAGATGAAATTTCTAATATCGAAAAAAGGAAAATCCGAGACAAGTACTTATGACGCAGCAGGCGATGATCTTGACCGCCTCCTGCGGCGGCAGGCAGTCTGTGCTCGCCGCGAAAATCCTCACGAAGTACTCCGAGCAAGTGAGGCAAATAATGGCGAGCGACGAGGGTTTCAGGAGGAAAACCGATACCCACGCGAAGAGGAAAGCGGGTATCTGGCCCCACCACGTCTTTCGCTTCTCGTTAGGGGCGAAGGCCTGCATGTAATAGGCATGCTCTCCTCCCGACTCCGACACGAGGGTCCCGAGCTCGGCGTAGGCGAGGGACCCTGATGATGACGTTACGGATGGAGGTTAGGGAGTGCGGGGTTAACATAAAATGGGGAGAGAAAAAAAACAAAACAAAATGCGTGTGATAGAAATGATGATCTACTTCATTAATAAAGAAAATACTACAGGATAATATAAAAAGCTTAAGTGACTATCGTGATTACAATACTTTGGTTCTGGTCTTGCACAGTGAACAACACAACTAAGGTGATTAGAGAGTGCAGGGTTAAAACAAAAAATAAGAGGGAAATGCAAACTACTTTCTGTGCAAATATTACTAATAAAGCACCAAAATTGGTAACAACTCCACTTCAGTTCTCATCTGTGGGCACTAAACGCAATAAAAACATATTAATAAACACATATAATGGTGTATCCTAATTAAGGTCAAATGGAACAAAATATAAAAGGCAAAGCCAGGTAATAAAACAAATCATGCAAACAAAATTAGATAGTAAATAGCAAAATAACAGTAAATGCAAAAACACACTTAAAGCAAATCTGTCCTGTAAAAATAATTATCTATTAATATGACGAACAGATCATTACACATGCTGGAAAAAAAAAATAAGGAAAATGACTGGTGTGTACATCTGAAATAAAATAAGAAGCAAGCAATCTTGCACATTACTACAAAACGACACAAACTACGCAATAAACTGGAAAAAATATTGCAACAAATTTAAAGGGGGAAAAGTAGGTAAAACAAGCAAGGATGTAACGTGCACGAAGGAAATCCGTTTTCTTTGATGGCGACGCGGAATGACAGAAAACGGGATTCTTTTATGCCGACACGAAATGACACAAAACTGGATTCTTTTTTTCTGAAAGAACAGAGTAAGATCTTAGAAATTCTTTTTATATTTCGCTCTCTTCTTCTTTTGTTTCTTCTTTTTGCTTTCTTTTCAGCTTCTTGGTATCGATTCTTCTTCCTTTCATATTTTCCTTTTCATTTTTCATTTCCTTCCATCTCTTCTGTTGTAGTTTTTTAAATATATATAAATCATCTCCTAGTTTTGCCTTCAATATCTATTTGAATTTCCCTTACTATTGGTATTCTGTTGTCTCTATAATCCATCTATACAATGTATCTATTAAAATCTATTTATCTATATATCTATCTAGACACTATACACTATCTATAGCCACTACCCAATTGTTTTCATTATCATATCAATGCAAAAATAACATTTTGAAATATGTTTATGTTTTGGAACATGCTCATTCTCATACTCCAAAAAGGAATATGCTCATTTTCAAAAGAAAAGAAAAGAAAAAAAAATTAAAGAAAGAAATAAAAAATATATATATATTTACGTGTATATATATATATATATATAATATATATATATATATATATATATATATATATATATTATATATATAATATATATATATATATATATATATATATATAATATATATATATATAATATATATATATATATATTCGTCCATTTTTAACGTGCTTTTTTATGAACATAAATAAATAAATTAATACTAACAGAAAACGCCCACATCTTATTTACCTAATCAACATCTACTTGTTATGCAAATCACTTTCTCACACGCCCACCTCCCCTCTCCCACGCCCATCCTCGTAGACCACACCCCAAAATCCTAACAAACCCCCCCCTCTACACAACCCACCCCACCCCTCACCCCCACCAGCCACCCCCACCAGAGCCACCCCACCAGAGCCACCCCACCCACCCCACCAGAGCCACCCCCACCAGAGCCACCCCACCCCACCCCCCAGAGCCACCCCCACCAGAGCCACCCCCGCCCTCTAACGACCGTCCTTCCGCCAAATCAATATTCATCTGCCGCCCATCTCATCCGCCCGCCCACGTCCCAACCTCCAGGTGTCACACACATACCTCCGCGAATAACCTTTCTTCTTACGTATCCGACTAAATCCCGTGAGAACCCCCTCTACACCCACCCACACCTACCCATACCCACCTGAATCCACGCACACCCACCTACACCTACTACACCCGCTAAAGGTCACACACCAACTACCCCACCGACACCTACCCACCCAAGTCCAGCCCCAACGTCTATACCCATACCCAAACCCACACCCACACCTACCCACGTCCACCCTACCCTACCAAGTTCACCCCCACGTCCATACCCACACCCACACCTAGCCACGTCCATACCCACCCCACCCCCACCACCCCCACAGCCCCTATCCTCCGAGCCCCACTCACCTATGGTCAGCGCCCCCAGCAGCTGGATAGCCGTGAGCGGAGGTTCACAGTCGGACGCGAAAGCCTCCACCAAGTACTTCGAGAAGGAGAGGCAGATAATGGCTAACATGGCAGGCTTCAAAATGATAATGGACACCCAGGCGAACAGAAACGCCGGCAGGTGCCCAAAAGCCGTCATGAAGTACGTATGTTCCGCCCCCGAGGAGGGGATCATGCAGCCTAGCTCCACGTAACACAGCGCGCCTGGTGGTAGCGGGTGTTGGGTCGTGCGGGGAGGGGGAGGGGGGTGAAGGGGAGGGGGATGTGTGTTTTATGGGTGTTGTGTGTGGTATAGCATATATGGGTATGTTTTACGTTGCGTGTGGTAGAGCATGCAGTGCAAAAGGGCCATACGAGAGTGACACCACATATGTATATATAATACATGTGTACATATTATGAACATATGTACACACAACGCAATGAATAGGCGTTGTTTATATAAATATTTAAAAAAAAAAAACGATCGACAACAGAAAGTTAGACAAAAAAAAGATGATAATAAAAGAAAAAAAAAGATAAACAGACAACATCCAGGTGGCGGAAATATGTACAATTTTTTCAGCATTTGTAGCGACGTCCGCAGGGCCATAAACACCATGCGTTGGAGAACCGGCAGAGGTAGGAGTGAAGGCCGCACCACACACAGCATCCAGCGGCAAAATTGGAGTAATCCCGCAGAGTCCAGGAGAAGGAAGCAGGAAAGAAAGGGCGAGAAAAAAGATAACAGTTATGTGTGCTGCATAGATAAGGATAGCACAGGTTAAAGATAACAATGGTTAACCCCACAGACTGCCAAGCCCTGTGTATATAAGCCTAAAGCACCATCATTACCTAAATTGAACGCATCTTTAATACTAAATATTTTATAGTATTAAAAGAAAATATATATAGCTATCTAAGCAATTTTTCTTAGATATTTTGACTACTTTAAGAAAGAGAAAAATAGGTAGCAGTGATTTAGGCTTATTCTCGCTTGCAGTTAAAGGGTTAAAGACATGAAGAAGGTGTATCGACGGCTCCCCACCAGCATGTAGGCCTATTTGCATATAAAAATAACAAGGCGATAATATGGAATCTATTGTAATATATGAAACTACTGCCTATAGAGAGAAAAGCAAAAGTGAATGGTGATGATGATAATGATAATGAAAGCAATAATTGCAGTGATGGTAATGATGACGAGAATACAGCAATGATAATAATAATGATGATGACAATGATGATGATGACAAAAGTAACAATAATAATAAGAATAAGAATTATTTGTAATGACCATAATGACAATAAGAATCACCAACAGTAACCATAATAATACTCATGATAATGATAAGAGTAAAAATACAATAATTACAACAATGCTGCCTAAAAGTATAAAAAAAGATTTTAAAAATGAAGGATCACCGCCAAATGAAAACCTGTAGAGAATAATAAACAAAATCATTATTATCTAGATTCATGTACTCATCTGTTATTCAAATCATTATCATCAAATCTCTCTCCAGTTCTCATCATCTTGTGTTTATTTCCAGCTTCCTCTTGTCGTAATTCTGTAACAGGGAGAAAGGGAGAGGGAGGGAGAGTAAAGAGAAAGAGAGAGAGATTGAGATTGAGATTGAGATTGAGATTGAGATTGAGATTGAGATTGAGATTGAGATTGAGATTGAGATTGAGATTGAGAGAGATAGAGATAGAGATAGAGATAGAGGAGATAGAGAGAGAGAGATAGAGAGAGAGAGAGGAGAGATAGAGATAGAGAGAGAGAGAGAGAGAGAGAGAGAGAGAGAAGAGAGAGAGAGAGAGAGAGAGAGAGAGAGAGAGAGAGAGAGAGAGAAGAGAGAGAGAGAGAGAGAGAGAGAGAGAGAGAGAGAGAGAAGAGAGAGAGAGAGAGAGAGAGAGAGAGAAGAAGAGAAAGAGGCGTATAGTTTATAGAAACCCGTCACAAAAAACTCTACGGCGCTACAACCCGCATTTCACATCACCAGTCGGGAGAAACCTGCAACAGAGAATTAAAAAAAAAGAAAGAAAGAAATGAAAAGAAAATTATTATAAACCTTAAACCGAAAAAGCACAATAAAACTCCCAGCAACAAAAACTCACCAAATAAACCCGATGACCGATACACCCCCCTTCTCAAAAAAAAAAAAAAAAAAAAAAAAAAAAAAAAATTCCTCGACCAAAGCCAACCCACCTCGCCACCCACCTCACACCCACCTCACGAGGAACCCACTTACCCAGCAAAGAGAGCAAACCGCAAGCTGCCCATATCACGAGACTGAGACCGACGCTTCCTGTGCGCTCCAACAAGCCTTTTGGACTTACGAAAATTCCCGAACCTGTGGAAGAAGGAGGGGGTCAGTTTGGGGGTTAATAGGGGGGGTAGGGGGAGGGGGTCAGGGGGTTAAACAGGGGGGTAGGGGGTCAGTTTGGGGGGTTACGGGGTGTGTGTGAGAAAAGGAGGAGGTGAGTTTGGGGTCTTAAGTATGGGGAGGGGGGTAGGGGGTAGGGGGTGAGTTTGGGTGGGGTAGGGGGTGAGAGGGGTTGGGAGTAAGGTGGGGGTAGGGGGTGAGTTTGGGGGTTAAGTATGGGGGGGTGGTGAGAGAAGATTGGGGGTGAGTTTGGAGGGTTAAGTATGGGTGGGTGGGGAGTAGGTGAGTTTAGGGTTTAAATAGGGGGTGGGGGAGTAGGTGTGTGTGTGAGAAGGTTGGGGTGATAGGAGGGGGTAATGGGTTGAGTAGGGGGATGAGGAAGGAGGGGGGTGTTTGGGGGTTAAATAGGGGGTAGTGGGGAGTAGGTGGTAGGTGTGTGTGTGTGAGAGAAGGTTGGGGGTGAATAGGAGGGTGGGGGTTTGGGGGTGAGGTAGGGGTAGGTTGGGGTGGGGTAGGGGTGTGTGTGAGAGAAGGGGGTGAGTACGGGGAAGATGAGGAAGGGGTGAGGTTGGGAGGTGAATAGGGGGAATTGAGGTGTGGGTGGGGTGGGGGTGAATAGGGGGGGGAAGTTGAGTTGGGGTAGAGGAAGGAGGGGTGTGAGAAGGGGGTGAACAGGGGAGGAAGGAAGGGGTGGAGTGGGGGTGAATAGGGGGGGGGGGGGTGGAAGTTGAGTTGGGGGAAGGAAAGGGTGTGAGAAGGGGGTGAATAGGGGCGGGAGGGGGGAGTTTGGGAGGGGATTGGGGCTTAGGCGTTTGAGTTGGGGGGTAAGGGGGTGGTGTGTGAATGGAGGAGGAGGGAGGGAACGTCTTATGAAAGATGTGTTATTTGTTGTTATGTTGGTTGTGTGGTATGTTGCGTAGTCGTGTTATGTTGTTTATATGCATTACTGATTATACGATTCTATGCTGTCCATATGATGCTATGTAGTTTATACGATGCTATGTTGTTTGTGTGTTGCTATTATATCATGCTATAGAATATAAAGACTTCGATAATATTATAATCATAACATACACCACCATAAGCCTATTTCAGCATTTTAAATTATCAGATTATTCAGACTCCAGAATTGAAGATCATTCATCATCATAAACAGTGCTATATCATACGTTAAAAATCATCCAGATCCTTACAATTTTCTGATGATGAGTTGGGCTAAATTAATTTTACAAAGAACGCTGTATTGGGTAAAAAAAAAAAAAAATCTGATCTTGTTCGTATTGTAATCTATTTTGTATTCTATTTGTAATCCAGATCGTCACATTTATTTTATCATGGTGCCGGCCTAAATCATTTTTACAAAGAACGCTGTATTTAGTTATAAAATATTAAGATCTTGTTCGTTTTTGTAATCTACTTTGTATTTTTTTTTCTTTTTTTGTAATCCTTTTTTATCATGGTGCCGGCCTAAATCATTTTCAAAAAGAACTCTGTAATAAAGTTATAAAATATTCAGGTCTGCTTTCGTTTTGTAATCTATTTTGTAATTATTTTGTAATCCAGATCTTCACCTTTTTTATCATGGTGCCGGACTAAATCATTTTAAAAAAGAACTCTGTAATAGTTATAAAATATTCAGATCTTGTTTCGTTTTTGTAATCTATTTTGTAATCCAGATCTTCACCTTATTTTATCATGGCGCTGGGCTAAACCATTTTCACAAAGAACGCTGTAATAAAGCTATAAAATATTCAGGTCTTGTTCGTTTTGTAATCTGGGTATGAGCGCTATATCTTACTGTATTACCGCGCTATATCATCCTACTGTCAACTATGCAAACCATTTTGTAATCCCGATCTTTGCAATTTTCTTAACTAGGTGCTGGGCTAAAATAATTTCTGATAAAGAACGCTGCATTATCACGGTTATTAGGTTATAAAATATCCAGATTTTGTTCATTTTGAGAGCTACATTATACTGTATTTGAACGCTACATCATCATATACTGTCAACTATCCAGGTTATTTTGTAATCCTGGTGGTGTGGGCGGAGGGGTGAGGAGGGGGGGGGGTGGGTCGCGAGGGTGGGGGAGGAGGGGGCGATGGTTATATGCATGTCTATGGATATACAGGATTAAATTGCTTTATTTTTTTTTTTTATCTTTTTATTTTTATATATTTTTTTTAGGAGAATGGAGGAAAAGGTCGTGAGGGGGAGGAGAGGAGGAAGGGGAGTGGAGGGAAAGGGAGGGAAGAGGGAGGAGAGGGAGGAAGAAGGAAGCAGGTAGAAGAGGGGATGATAAGGAAAGGAGGGGGAGGAGAGAAGAGGGAGGGCGGAGAATAAAATAAGGAAGGACATGGAAAACGTAGAGGGAAGGGAAGGGAAGAGAAGAGAACTGAAGGGAAGGCAAACAAGAAAAGGAAAGGGAGAAGAAAAGAGAAGGGAGGGGAACGAAAGAAAATGGAAGAGAAGAGAAGAAAGGAGAATGGAGAATTGAACGTGAAAGAAAAAGGCGTAAGAGAAGAGAAGAAGGGAAAAGGAATTGAGAGGAAAGAGAAGGGAGAAAAATACGGGAGAGGGGGGACAATAAGTACTATAATAAATAGATAATAACTAATATTGGATTTGATAATATACCACACTAATACAAAATCAAAGTTGAAAATTTTCCCTCCGAAAACACCGTACAACCCAAACGCTTCTACTCTCCTACAACGAAAATACAGAATAAAAGTGCCTAAAAAATGACCACAAAGCGCCAAAAAAAAGCTCAAACCACGCTTCTAACTCGCTCCACAGGCGTCATAAAGTTATAAATGCCATCTGGATCGCGCCACAAAATTCAATTTTCCCGCGGTCTCGTCATTTCCATTTTTAGGCTAACGCTATCACCGCGGCGCATTATAATCGATTCCATTGGTTTTGTCCAAATCTAATGACGCGCCCTAAATAAAACAAAACAGCCAAAAAAACATAGCACTGTTCTGAGTAATGGATCGTTCTTTTAGGATAATTTAGGAGTCCGATAGTTTTCTTCTTTTCTTTTCTTAAGGTGATTGTGTCAAATCTAATGATAGAGTCTTTTTAAATGTACTTTTTAACTAATGATATTTTTTTAGTACATACTTACATCAAAATAATACTGAAAAATAATATAATCTACACGCTTACCATTATCTCACTATTTTACTACTATTGCTACTACAACTACATAAACCAGACACACTCATTCACTCACACACCTACGTACCCTCACACTACCCACAACACACATAGTACACACAAGCACATACCCACATATATGCCCATGTTTCACACCCATCGGTCTACCCTCAACCCCAACCCCATCTCTAAACCCCACACCCCACTACATAACACAGCACGACACACATACATACTCCTCCCTACATACTCACATACGTCGCCCCCACACAACTCTACAAAAAAAACACATCCTGCCCCCACAACCCAACCCTCTCTAGAACCCACACGCAAAAGCAAACAAGCACACATCTCCTACACACACCCCACCTTCCCTTCCCTTCCTACACACCCCCACAAACAACCCTCTATAACCCAACTAAAAACACATACATCCTCCCCACACACCTACCTAAACCCTCCCTTCCACTCCCCACCCTTCAACCCCCATTCACAACCCCTTATACCTACACAACCCCCGGCAATCTGAGCAACCCCACTGACGAGACCACCCAAATACACACACACACACACACACACACACACACACACACACACAACACACACACGCACACACACACACACACACACACACACACACACACACACACACACACACACACACACACACACACACACACACACACACACACACACTCACCTCCATTCCTCACACTTCCAACCCCTACAACCCTCCCACAACCTCCCCACAACCCCCCCAATTCACCGATCATGGTCCCGACAACCAGAGCAACCCCACTGACGAACCACACACACACACAAACACACACCTCCTCTTACCTTACCCCCTTCCTTCCCTACCCACAACCCTCCACAACCTCCCCACAACCCCCAACTCACCGATCATGGTCCCGACAATCAGAGCAACCCCACTGACGAACCACACACACACACAAACACACACCTCCTCTTACCTTACCCCTTCCTTCCCTTACCCACAACCCCCACAACCTCCCCACAACCCCCAACTCACCGATCATGGTCCCGACAATCAGAGCAACCCCACTGATGAGCCCCACCCGCCTCTCGAGGTTAACAGCGTCATTCGGAGCTGGTGCGCCCCTCGCCACGGCTGCTGCAGGCTTTCTTTCAACTTGTTCCTCTGACCCCGGGACACTCGGCCGTCGCCCACGAGGACTTCCCCCGCCCTGGACGCTCTCATGTCCTGTGGGGGAGAGAGAGAGAGGTGAGAGAGTGGAAGTTGGGGGTTGGAGGTTGGGTTTCCTGTCCTGTGGGGGAGGGAGGAGGGGGAGGGAGGTGAGAGAAGGTTGGAGGTTGGATGGTTGGGTCTCATGTCCTGTGGGGGAGAGAAAGAGGAGGACAAAGGCGGTTGGAGGATGGAGGTTGGATGGTTGCAGGTTGGGTTTCATGTCCTGTGGGGGAGAGAGAGTTGGATGGGTGGGTTTCATGTCCTGTGGGGGAGAGAGAATGAGGTGAGAGAGGGCGGCTGTTGGAGATTGGAGATAGATTGGAGATTGTGGGGGAGAGAGAGGGGGGAGGTGAAAGGCGGTTGGAGGTTGGATGGTTGGCTCTCATGTCCTGTGGGGGAGGGAGAGGGGAGGGAGGTGAGAGAAGGTTGAAGGTTGAATGGTTGGGTTTCCTGTCCTGTGGGGGAGGGAGGGGGAGGGAGGTGAGAGCGGTTGGAGGTTGGAGGTTGGATGGTTGGGTTTCATGTCTTGTGGGGGAGGGAGGAGGGGGGGGGGAGACGGTTGGAAGTTGGAGGAAGATGGTGGGTTTCATGTCCTGTGGGAGAGAGAGAGAGAGGTGAGAGAGTGGAGGTTGGGGGTTGGAGGTTGGAGGTTGCGTTTCATGTCCTGTGGGGGAGGGAGGAGGGGGAGGGAGGTGAGAGAAGGTTGGAGGTTGGATGGTTGGGTTAGAATGCTGGTCGAGGGAAGTGGATGAATGGACACTGTAAAGGAATTCATTAATTAGTTAATTAAGTAAGTATCTATCTGTCAGTCTGTTTGTCTATCTACCTATCTCTACATCTATATATAATATACATATGATATATATATATATGATATGTATATCATATATACATATACATATATATATATATATTATATATATATATATATATATATATATATATATATATATAATCTATATACACATAATGCGTACATAAACACATCAAGAAATTCGTATTCGACATCTGCAGACAATGACAAAACACAAGCCGCCTATTTTCCATAATGGCGAATTTCAACCAAATCACACATCTCTTAACTATAATTGGCAAGAGAACAATGCCAAACCACAATTAATCTTCATAAAGGTGCAATTGCAGCGGACTGCATTACAGGTTGCAATAGAGATAAATTGCGAGGGGGGAAGAGGAGAGGGTAGGGGGGAGGTGGGGGGTAAGGGGGGAGGAGAGGAGAGGAGAGGGTAGGAGGGAGGAGAGGGGGATAAGGGAGAGGAGGAAAGGAGAGACGGAGAAGAGTAGGTAGGGGGAGGAGAGTAGAGAGTAGGGGGGGAAAGAGGAGGAGAAGAGAGAGAGGGTAGGGGGGAGGAGAGGGGGATAAAGGGGGGGGATTGGTAGGGGAAGGGGGTAGAGGATAGCGAAGGGTTAGCTATGGGAGAGTGGAAAGGGAGGAAGGGAAGAGAGGGAAGGGAACGGGGTGGCTGTAGGGTAGGGGGGAATAAATATTGGAAAAGTAGGGTAGAGGGGAGGGGGAAGGGGAGGAGGGTAATGAGAGAGGAAGGAGGGGAAGGGGAGGGGGAAGGGGTAATGAAAGGGGAAGGAGGGAGGGGGGAGGGGAAGGAGAGGAGGGATAAGAAAAGGAAAAAACATCAACAGAACTGAAACAGCATAATTAGCATATGCTGCACGGAATCAACAATAACGATTAAAACAATTAGTCATTTAAATATAACTGCTACAGTCATTGCAATCAGTCAGAGAGAACACAGCTGAAGGACACTCTAAATCGTGATCAATTAATAAAAACCTAATTGAAAGTCAATCAAAACCCCTGTGAATTTCAGTCAGTCAAAACAAATTCAATAGTAGTCCTCAGTCAGTCAAAAAAATCCATTGGAGGTCCTAATCAGTCAAAACCAGTCCAATCTAAGACCTAATCAGTCAAAACCAGTCCAATCTAAGACCTAATCAGTCAAAATCAATCCAATATAAGTCCCCAATCAGTCAAAACCAATCAATCTAAGACCTAATCAGTCAAAAGATCAATTGAAAGTCTTAGTCACTCAAAACCAACCCAATCTAAGATCTAATCAGTCAAAATTAATTCAATATGTTCCCAATCAGCAGAAAATCAATCCCTTTCCAATCGCAATCAGTAAAACCAATCCGATACAAACCATATACATATATATATATATATATATATATATATATATATATATATATATATATATATATATATATATATATATATATATATATATATATATATATATATATATATATATATATATATATATATACATATATATATATAATATTTAACCCCCCCCCCAATCACTCAGACACCAATCACCCAATCGTTCACCTGTCACGGCCGAATCGCACCGGCTCAAGCGGGAAGTAGGAAGAAACTCAGGCAGTTTCTTGGCACCGAGAGTTAAACGATCTATATTTAAGGTAATTTTTTTCAAAATCTTTTTTTTCTTCTTTTTTTTCTTTCAGGGCGTGTGTGGAGGGGGGAGGGAGAGGGATAGAGGGGGAGAGGGGAATGGGAGGGGAGAAGAGGAAGAGAGGGGGGGAATGGGGAGGGGAGAGAGGAAGAGGGGGGAGGGGAAGGGGTGGGAGGGGGGAGGGAGGAGGGGAGGGAGGGGAGGGGGGAGGGAGAAGGGAGGGGAGGGGGAGGGTAGGTGAGAGGGGAAAGGGGGGTGGAGGGTTAGGGGAGAGAGTGGGAGAAGGGTATGTGGAGAAGGAGAGGGTGGGATGGGGGGAAGGGAAGGTTGAAGAGGGAGAGGTGGGTCGGGAGTGATGGGGCAGAGGATGGAGAGGTGGAGGGGGTGGGGTAGAGGTTGGGAGAGGTGTAAATTGAGAGGGGGGGAGTTGTGAGGAGGGGGGTGGAAAGTGGGGAGTAGTGGAGAGACAGAGGAGGGGGAAGGGCAGGGTGGGGGAGGGGAGATAGGGAGGATAGTTAGAAGAGGGGGAGTGGTGGAGAGAGGTTGGGGGGGGGGAAGGATCAGAGGGGATCGGTGAGGAACGGAGAAGGGGAACTAGGAAGAGGGAAGGGGAGGGAGAGGGGAGAGGGAGGGAGGGGTGTAGGGTGAACGGGGGAGGAGGGAGCAAGAATTTCCGCTGTAAATATTTGATTTAGAACACAGAGGGAAGTGAGGGAGGAAGGAAGAGCGAAAGAGGGAGGAAGTAAGGAAGAGGAGGGAGGGAGGGAGAGGATGGAAGGGAGGGAGAGAGGGAAGTAAAGGAGTCAGAGAGAGAGAGAGTCAGACAGATAGACAGACAGGCATGCTAAGACAAACAAGGCAAACAAACAAATAAACATCCCCCCAAAAAAAATCAACATAATTCCTCTCACCAATCTAAAAAAAAAGGAAAAGAGAAAAGAGAAAAAAGAAAACACAACACACATACACACACACACACACACACACACACACACACACACACACAACACACACACACACACACACACACACACACACACACACACAATATATAATAATATATATATATATATATATATATATATATATAATATATAATATATACATATATACATATCACCTCACCATCTATAGTTAAAACAGCAATACCCGCCACCATTACGCATGAACTCCCATATCTCCTGAACATGACACGAAGCGCCCAAGCAAAACAGCCTGCAATGGGGCTATTGTTGTCAGCAGTAAAACATAATATGAGAAAAGGCGGATCAGCATATTAGGCGAGGATGAAGCGCAAAACCGAGCGGGGTTTGGCAAGAGACCCATGGGTGGGGGGAGGGGGAGGGGGGGGGTTGGGGATGAGGTTGGGGGTGGGGTGGGAGAGACATAGGGCAATGCATACATACATACGTGCATCTATATACATGTATATACATACACATGCATGTATGTATATATGTATGTTCATATGTATGCATGTGTGTATACTTATATCTATATCTATATCTGTATATCTGTCTATCTATCCACCTATCTATCTATATGTCCACCTATCTATCTATCTATCTATCTGTCTGTCTATCTGTATACAAATGCATAACAATGATACTGACAAACAAAGATAATAACAAAAAACTAAATCAGGAATAACAGTGCTAGCAATAACAATAACAACAATAACACTAACAAACGTACCAATAACAAAGAAAGGAGAGAAACAACACTTTGCCTTTGTTTAGCTTCCTGTGTTATAATTGCCTTCAATCGATGTTCTTAATAACCTATTATTTGTTATAGTTACAGACGGTTATTACAATAATTTTGGGGGGATTTGTTATTTTCATCGCCGATTGTTTTTGTTTTTTTGTTTTTTTTTACATATAATACTCTTTCATTATGATCATTATCAATTTGTTAATTATTCATTATAGAATTCAACTTTCGAGGTAATAGTAACAAGGTATTTTATGTCAGGGTTATCAAATGCTGATGAGGGAGTCAGGCAAATGCACACACGCACACGCACACACGCGCAGAAACACTCATTCAATCATACACTCACTCACTCATAAACTTACACCCTCGTACACTCACACACACTTATTTTCTCTCTTAATTACCCATCCACCCACCTATTCACTCTCATTCACTCACCCATTCCTCACTCACAACTCCTCACTCACTCATTCATTCACTCACTCACCCACTCATTCATTCACTCATTCATTTACTCACTAACTCATTCCCTTGCCCACCCACTCACTCAATCACCCACACCACTCACTCACTTACTCACCCACCCATCCGCTCACTCACTTACTCACTAATTCATACCCATACTCACCCATTCACTCAATCATCATCCAGTCATTCATTCATTAACTCATACCCTTACTCACCCCACCACTCATTCATTCACTGACGAACTCATTCCTTTACTCACCCACTCACTCAATCACCCACACCACTCACTCACCCATCCACTCATTCCCTTACTCACTTACCCAACTAGGAAATTAGGATGAATAATTTTGGTTGCCATTTCACAAAAAGGTTAATAAT